CCGATTTAGCCCTCTTTTCTTTTCCTCCACCAGAACCCGAAAAGATCCCACTTTTTATTCAAACGAGTCGAGCGTTTGCGTTTCGTAACGCCCTTTTCGGACGACAAAAAAAATGGTCTTAAATGACGGTTTTGCCCTGAGGTTTGGGTTGGTTCGATTTGGTTGTATTCCGGTTCGATTATTTCCGATTTTAAATTATAATCATTCAATTCATTTTGGGTTTGGTTTGATTCGCACTCAGTTTTTATTGATAAAGTATTATTTTCGAGAAATTTTGAATTTTTTCGATTATTTTTATTTGATTTGGTTCCATTTAAATTCGATTTTTTAGATTTAAAAGAACGATAACCATATCTCGGTTATTCGGCTAATAAACAAAGGCCACACCTATTTATTTCGATAATTGTTTGTTTGCGAGAAAACACGAGAATTATATGTTTGAAAAAACATGCGCGAATTAATTAAAGTTTAAATTGGGCTGAAGAACAAATTAGGCTGATAATTGAGGCCCATAATAAAGCCCAAATCCCATCACAAACACCTCTCTCTCTCTCTCTCTCTCTCCTTGCCGGGAATATGATTCCGTGTTGAATCTTCGTAACTGACGTGACGCAGATCGTCTGAGATTCAACTTCGTAATCCCCGATATTGAATCTCTCTGGCAGTGTAGGTACTTCTTTTGTTACTTGTAATCCTTTCTAATCGATCGCAACGTAGATTATAGAAAAGGGTCGTTGTTTTTTTATGCTTTTCTCAGGTTTTTCACACTTTTGATCTGCGCATTCGGTAGACGGGTATCTGCAATTTCGCACTGGAAGGATTTTCCAGACATGGGTTTTGAAGCGTTAGGACAAAAATGTGAACTTGATGTGTTTTTGTGAGATTTTTGTGAGATATGTCCAGTAAGGTTTGGAGATGGGTATTAGGGTTGATATACATATTTGCCGTTGCTACGATCTGGATTGCTGCCAGTTTCGTAGTTCAGTCGGTGGTTGACGAAGGCGTGTCTCCGTTCTTGGTTACTTTCATTTGCAATTCGCTGTTTATGATTTATCTTCCCATTTTTGAGATTGGACGGTATTTGGAAGATACCTACGGAAGCATATTGTTCTGGAGAAACAATAGGAGTTCACATTTGCCAGAATCGGTAGAATCGGAGAAGAGCGTTCTTCTTGGACAAGGCTATGTGGGTGTAGCATCGGATGCACTTGAAGTGTCAATGGCTGTAGGAGAAGAGATGTGTAATCAGAACAGTGATGGAATCGAGTCAAGAATGGAGAATATAGAGCATGAGGTTGAAAGTAGTGTCGAAGTGACTGGAAGTTGCAACAAAGGATTGGACGAGAAAGGGCGTTGGACACGGGCGCGAGTGGCAAAAGTCAGTCTTTTGATTTGTCCGTTTTGGTTCCTGGCTCAGCTTACTTTCAATATCTCTCTGAAGTACACGACACTGACGGTAAGGACACGCTCATTCTTGTCCCGCTTTATGATTTGATTCTATTTGTATATAATATACATATATACCGTAACAAGAGGCTTTCCCTTTGTAACTGTAGTCGAATACCATCTTAAGCAGTGCATCGAGCCTGTTCACATTTTTGGTATCTCTAGTGTTCTTGGGCGAAAAGTTCACGTGGTTGAAACTCTTCAGCGTTCTTCTTTGCATGTCTGGGACCATAATCGTCAGCTTGGGTGACTCGGAATCCGACAATGCCACAACAGCCAAAAACCCTCTTCTGGGTGATATTCTTTCTCTGGTCTCGGCAGCACTGTACGCTGCCTATATCACTCTCATACGCAAAAAGCTGCCGGATGGCGAAGAAAAGCCCGTGGCCGTCAGTATGGCTCAATTCCTAGGGTTTCTAGGTCTTTTCAATTTCTTCATTTTCCTCCCAGTCGCTCTCGTACTCCACTTCACAAATCAAGAACGCTTCAACGTTCTAACTTGGAAACAGTTTGGTCTAGTTGTCGGTAAAGGTACGATCTTTTCTCAAATTTCCTTGCATCCGTGAGTGAAAAAAGCCATTTTATGTTATGTGCTTCTACATATGAAACTTTTTCGACACTCGGGTACCGTAGTTTTTCTTACAGTAGCAACGGATTAATAGGATGGTAGGATGGCCGAGAATAGCACAGAAGAACGTAGATTAAGTTTTGAATCATCAATCAGAATTTCTGTCAATCGAAAATGTTGTTCTGATAAGAATTCGGTGTATGCCTCATTTTCAGGGTTGCTAGACAACGTCCTTAGCGACTATCTGTGGGCAAAGGCAGTTCTTCTGACAACAACGACCGTGGCAACGGCGGGGCTCCCCATTCAGGTTCCATTGGCAGCCATTGTAGACACCTTAACGGGAACCATCCCGACCCTAACCGATTACATTGGAGCTCTTGCTATCATGGTTGGTTTCGCCGGCATCAACATTCCGTCTGATGCAATTTTCAAATCAGATCAGACTGCCCTCCAGTTAGAGTCTAGGATACCTAGTACGGATCCTGGTCAGGTTGTGCCCGAAACTAGAACGGAATCTTCATAGAGTGAACATACAAGAGCTTTTACAGTTGATTTCTGTAAGTCATTGAATATTGAATATAAGAAATTGGATACGTGACAAATGCAAGAGCTTTTACAGTTGATTACACTTCTCAACAATCTGACATTGAGTTTCCTACCGCAAATATCATGGTCCATTTGCGAAATCGACATGCAAATTCAATATGATGAATGAATTTCTCTTGTAGATAGACTAAGAACTGGCTACATTGAGATGACCGTACTTCTGCATAACCCTCCTTGTGGCAAGAGCAGCCGCCTCGCTTGCTCGGAGAGTGCCTTCTGCCATAAGAGCTGCAAATTCTCGGCCAATCTCTTCTTAATGTCTCAAGTTTTGTCTTTGTTTTTCACGATTTCAGCAGGTGGGACTCGGCCAGCTGCAGCCGAAACCTTAGCCTCCTCGGGCTTTAGCGGTCTCTCTTCTTCAGCTTTTGCTTCTTTGGGCTTAGGTGACAACAGCCTTGGACCTTGGTCTTTTCCGAAAGGTTGAAAAGGCTGTGGCGTCTGTGGCCTGAACTGCGGAACTTGAGGAACAGCACCTGCTCTTAGAGTTGCCTCGAGGTTTTGTATCATGGGCACTGCCAGTTCAGTAGCAAGACACGGTTAGCGGGCACGTAGGTGTGCAAGATCATATTAAGTGAACCGGTGTTATAAAGAAAACTAACTTATTAGACTTCCCATTGGACTGCTCATAACTTCGTTGGGCAGCTGCAGAATGTAGTCTGGAACTCCCTTACCCACCAAAAACTGAGAGACCTCATTGCTGAAGTTGTTGCAGTTGTGAGTGAGCAAATTGTAGGATTCAGCAGTGTAACGGGGGGTAATTTCCTGCAAGTACATCTCAAATACATCCTTGGGAACATGTGTTTCGCCCAACTCAACCACTTGAACCGGAGTACCATAAGGAGTTCTCCCAGCTGGCAAGTGCTGTATTCCCCCTCCAAAGAAGTACTCGTTTCCGTAGACAACTACTCCCGTGTGCCTGGAAAAGGGATACATCGATCTCATGTTACCCGCTTAGCACCACACAACAATGAAGAAGATTCATCTCAAGACAAAGCAATTCAGATCACAACTATCAAGCAAATTTGACAAACAGGGTCATACACCACTAACAAAACCAACTTGGTCGATACAAAATCAAAAGGTTTCGACACTTAAATGATATATTTTGCAACTCTTCTCTTCAACCGACCATCCAGAAAGTGAAAAGATTGCGATATAAGTTGAGGCGTCACTCCCCAAAGAAATTCAGAGTTCGAGTACAAATCAAGAATGGCCATGAGACTAACTACATTGATGATGTTCTGGATACAAGAAATTCAACCCATCGAAAATTTCAACTCATTGAAAAATTCGACAGATAATACCAAACTGTCAAGAGCTAACTTACCATATGCCATCGATAGCCTTTCCCAGAAATGTTGTCGAAAGTTGTCGCGCCAAACCTTGGCTAAGGTCGTAAACATTCAGAGTAACCCGGTGAGCTTCCTGCAACAATGTATTCAACCTAATCACTTCGATACAACCAAATCAAACTCTTCACATGCAAGGACATTCCTTCGCAGTAGATAAATCTAACGCACAACCAAGTTTGAGAAGAGATCACATCACACCTCAGCCATTTTGTCCTCAAACGTGAAAATCCCTCAAAAACAGCTTACCTGCGCAGATTCAGTTTAAAAATCGCCAGGAAAAAGGATAAAGAATCAGAATTACCGTGCAACACGCATCGACTCCAAATTCAACTCCTTCCAATCCAAAAGATCTAAGATGGATCTCAATCCAAAGGATCCAATGAAAAACCCCAATCACAAAAATGGAAACCGAAATCACCAAAATTCAGAGACGATTGAATACTAACCCCGGATGCGGGTTCCGAATGGTATTCGACGAGAAACTGAAATGAAGAAGCGAGGGAAAGATCGCTTACACAGAAACGAACGCAAAAGCCTCCGCTTGTCTGTCCCTCCGACGATATTGGGATCTCCGACGAACACAAACGCCAACTTTCGGGAGCTTTATATAGGAGTGGTTTGAGATCCGAAGATTCTTGTACGGCGTCGTTTAGAGAACGCAAACGCGTCCTCTTTGTTCTATTTCCTTCTAGAACTTACCAACCAATATATTGTCGCCACGTGTCTTTGACAATCGGTTAACGCGTGACCGACCCCATCCCAGGAATTTCACATTTCATAATACATTATACAGATATGGAGATTGGAGACCATCAGTTCAAATTTACAAATTGATACCTTAACATTTCGAAAATTTTAGGAAATTTTGGTTTGGTACACGAAACTTAATACATAATCGAATTTGAATTGAAATTGATTTATTAATTATGGGTTATAAACTTTTTAAAACTAAAATAATAGAATTCGAATTAAGACCAGATTGAATAAGAAAATGAGTAAAAAAATATATATTTGGGAAATGTTTTTCTAAATAGAAAATGAATAGAATCGATACTAAAATCAGGATATATATATTTTATACAAAACCAAAATAATCGGTTTAGAATATAACGAAATTTTGAATTACCGGTTTTACTTGTGATAAAATAGAATCTCCTCTAACCAATATACACACATTGTACATATCAAATAATTTTTCTTTTCACCAATATTAGAAAACAAAATTATTATTTGTAAAAAACGACTGCATGACTATAATATTTAAAATCAAATTTAAACGTACCGAACACTTTTTTAAGTAAAGTAGAAAACTATTATAATAGAGTAAATGGTTCGATAATATTATTCAAAGTATTGTACAGATATATATATACACATATAAATCTAGGATAGTTGCTTCTATAATCGTGGGATATACATATATCATATATACGAAGAGATCATATTCCCGAGATCCCTATATCTCTAACTACATTTTTTGAAATAAAAATATACGGTTAAGAAATAAATGTGTGGAAAACCAAATTTAAATCCTATAAATATATTTGGAAAATGTATTTCAAATATCCTTGACATGTCAAATGTCTCAAGTTTTGTCTTTGTTTTTCACGATTTTTCTTTTATTAATTTCAATCATTTTTAAAATATAATTTTCAATTTTAAATTACCGATTTATTTTCCTATTTTATGCTTATCGAAATATATGGATTAGATATATGTTTACTGTTTTATAAAATTATTTTTGTTTCGATTACGTTATTTTTTCAATATTTTATGGAAAATGTTTTTTTATATAGTTCTATCTTCATAATTTAAATATTGTTTTCAACTTTATTAAAAAATATTTTTTTATGGGATTTATCTCAACATTAAAAATCCACTTGTCTTGTAAAAAAGCCCTAGTTAATGTTTCCTTTTTTTATAAGGAATAATAATTACCATATTATCCAATAATTGTTTTTATTTAGTGAAATATCCGAATTATGCTTTATTTTACACACAACTGATATTTTTGTTTCTGACGTGGCACTGAAAATCCGAAGTAAAAGGGAAAGATAACGAGAGTGAAAACGCGTCCCATTAAAGGAAAGTAGAAGGGCTTTCCATCTCTTCCCCTATATAAACCACGCAGGGGGTGTTCCCCCCTTCTAAACATCATCACCTCCTCTCCAGTTCTCTGCATCGAAGCAATCAATCACCATCGATCGATCATCATCATCATCAACCAATCGCCATGTCCATCTCCTGGAAACTCTTCATCGCGGTTTCGTGCCTCCTGTCTCTCCTGAGCTTTTGTTCGGCGCTCCAAACGTGCGAATCGCACGTCTTCTCCGGCGGCAGAACCTTCCGTACATGCAGCGATCTTCCTGTCCTGGATTCCTTCATCCACTTCAGTTACGTCCAGGAGACAGGCGTCTTCGATGTGGCTTACAGACATGCGAAGATGGAGCCGTCGAGCTGGGTGTCATGGGCCATCAACCCTCGAGGCCATGGCATGTCGGGCGCTCAGTCGCTCGTCGCTTACCGAAACTCAACCACCGGACTGATGCGTGCTTATACCTCTCCCATCGCCTCCTATTCCACCATCCTTCAAGAAGGGCCTCTCAGTTTCAGAGCCAACAACATCTCCGCCGAGTATTCTTCTGACAACGAGATGACGATATTCGCCACTCTTGTTCTGCCACCCAACACAACGGTGGTCAACCATCTCTGGCAAGACGGTCCTGTCATGGAAGGAGGGAGACTTGGGATGCACGCAATGGGAGGAGATCATCTCAAATCCATGGGGACTTTGGATCTTCTGTCAGGTCGAGTCCTCGCCTCAAAGGGAGGAGGTCCCACCACGTACATGTCGCGTGTGAAGAACGCTCACGGCATCATCAACGCTGTGAGCTGGGGATTTCTCATGCCTTTGGGTGGATTGGCGGCCAGATACATGAAGACTTACGACACATTAGATCCGATGTGGTTCTACACTCACGTCATCTGCCAATCTCTCGGTTACTTCATCGGCCTTTCGGGTGGGCTTGGAACCGCAATCTTCATGTGGAGATCCACCGGATTTAGGTTCGGTCCGCATTCCATCATAGGAGTGGTGCTGTTCATCCTAGGGTTCTTGCAGATACTTGCGCTGAAAGCAAGACCGGACAAGGATCACAAGTACAGAAGATACTGGAACTGGTACCACCACACGGTCGGATACGTCGTCATAGGACTCAGCATCTACAACATCTACAAAGGTCTGGCTATCTTGCAACCGGCGAACACGTGGAGGATCGTCTACACGGCCGCGATAGGGTTCGTGGGGTTGGTGGCGATCGTGATGGAGATTGTGCAGTTCGAGAAGCAATGGGGCTGGATCTTCTCCTGCTGCCGAGGATCTAATGCCAAAGATGCCGGTTCGATCGTCGCTGATGAAGTCTAATCTATAAGAGGAATATGCTTTTTCAGTTCCCCTTTGAATTTTTTTGTTTTGTTGTTTATCCGTTATCTTTTGGTTGTGTTCGAAGATGGATATCTATCTTAAACAGTTTTTTTTTATGGAATGAAATTATATTATTAATCATAAGCGCAAGAAGAAATTAAAACAAGAAATTGAGCTAAAGGTTTCTACAATGGCGGTTGAAACAGAGCCTCGTACGTCGAAGTTCCTTGGCGTAGAAGCAACCTAATTGATTCCTAAAAGCAAAATAAGATCCCTTTTAACCATCTAACCGGTTTCTAAAAGATGAAATCTCCTCGGAAATCGGAAATAGCCATGATTTTGTCAAGTCCGTTGACTAGGTCAACTTCAAATATGTTCCCCAAAATACCCTCTTGTGTCTCCACTTAGATCGATTCAGTGAGGATGTTCTTTGAGTTCTACGATCCTCACTGATATTACGTCATCTGCCAATCCCTCGTTCCAGTGAGGATCGTTTAAGTGAGGATGTTCCCCAAGTCCGTTGGCATAGGAGTGACTAATTGTATCGCTGCGGTTACGATTGTGGATGTGGATGTTAGTGTTTTCAATGAGTTTCTTGCCGATTGTGGGCAGTTAGTATTAACGGATTGATAAGTAGTTGGCATCGAGTCTTGGTTGTTACGTGGTTGATATAATTACGATTTGATGTAAATTATAAAAATAGGACACGGTTTTAATATATCAGATGTAGTTAATTTTTATTATTATTTAACAAAAAAAATATCTACTAAATTAATAAAATAATTAAATAAAAAATAATATAAATTTAATCTATTTTTAATAAAAAAAAAGTAATTTTATTATTAAAGAAATATTAAATTAAAAAATAGTTTTTTAATCAACCGCCACGAAATGCTATCGAAACGCAAGTGTGAAGTTGCGATTAGAAATTCTACGTTTTGTTGCAACTTTGATTAGGTGCGGTTCAATCAATCGGTTTTCTAATCGCTTGGAATCGTCAGAAATCGTAACTGTTTCATTTACTGGTGATAGTGGCTTAACCAGTTATCCCTTATATTTCGTTCTCTATTTTTCATAATTGTCGTTCATTTTGCTTCACCTAAATCCTTCATTTCAAATTGTTTTCCAAATGTTTTATTCACTTTCTTTGTTTTTTTTTATGTAACAGTAATACATACACATGTCATATGTTTATTGCGTCTATTGGATCACGAAGACATCAAGCTTCAGATTCCATAATCCATTTATGCGTGGACTAATTGCTTTTAAGCCACAGAAGAGATTTTCCCCCTTAGCTAGGAGACTTACATGTTTTTATTTTATTTTATTTTATTTTTTCTTTGGATTGTTGTATTTAGAGATGTCAATCGGATCGATCCGAACCCATACTTAGTTCGAGGGTTCCATTGATGTGTGGATGACTTTTAAGTCACAAACGATATTTTTTTTTTCGCATACGTTTTTACAATTTTTTGATGTTTTCTTTGGATTGTTGTATTAGTGGAATTTTAAATGTTTTTTTAAAATTAACTTAGTTTTTTTTAAGATGAAGTTTTTCTTTGAATTAGCGAATAATTGAGATTACAAATAGATATTTATGAAAAGTTGGATTTTTTTTTGGGTTTTCTCTAATTATTAATTTTTTTTAACTTTGTTTTATATATTTTTATGGGATTTATCTCTAACAGCCACGTGTTAACTAAAAAGCCGGGTTTTTTTTTTTTAAGTTATCAAATAATTGTTTCCATTTTGTGAAATATTTAAACTCTGCATTTATTTTACATTCATCCGAATATATTTTTTTCTCACAGACCCCAAATAAAACGGGAAGAAAACGTGCGTAAAGTAGAAAGAAAATGGAAAGATAAATGCAAGAGAAATACTCCAAGCAGATCTACGCGACTGCTCCTATATATACACATATACATAAACCACGCAGAGGGTAACTAACATCATCACCTCCTCTCCTGCATCTCACTTCTTCTCTTCCGTTCCCAGATCTCTGCATCGAAAACCACCAATCATCATCACCATGTCCATGATCTCCTGGAAACTCCTCTTCGCGGTTTCGTGCCTCCTGTCTCTCCTGAGCTTCTGTTCGGCGGTCCAAACGTGCGAATCACGCGTCTTCTCCGGCGGCAGAACCTTCCGTACATGCAGCGATCTTCTTGTCCTGGATTCCTTCATTCACTTCAGTTACGTCCAGGAGACAGGCGTCCTCGATGTGGCCTACAGACATGCGAAGATGGAACCGTCGAGCTGGGTGTCATGGGCCATCAACCCTCGAGGCCATGGCATGTCGGGCGCTCAGTCGCTCGTCGCTTACCGAAACTCAACCACCGGACTGATGCGTGCTTATACCTCTCCCATCGCCTCCTATTCCACCATCCTTCAAGAAGGCCCTCTCAGTTTCAGCGTCAACAACATCTCCGCCGAGTATTCTTCTGACAACGAGATGACGATATTCGCCACTCTTGTTCTGCCTCCCAACACAACGGTGGTCAACCATCTCTGGCAAGACGGTCCTGTCATGGAAGGAGGGAGACTTGGGATGCACGCAATGGGAGGAGATCATCTCAAATCCATGGGGACTTTGGATCTTCTGTCAGGTCGAGTCGTCGCCTCAAAGGGAGGAGGCCCCATCACGTACATGTCGCGTGTGAAGAATGCTCACGGCATCATCAACGCTGTGAGCTGGGGATTTCTCATGCCTTTGGGTGGATTGGCGGCCAGATACATGAAGACTTACGACACATTAGATCCGATGTGGTTCTACACTCACGTCATCTGCCAATCTCTCGGTTACTTCATCGGCCTTTCGGGTGGGCTTGGAACCGCAATCTTCATGTGGAGATCCACCGGATTTAGGTTCGGTCCGCATTCCATCATCGGAGTGGTGCTGTTCATCCTAGGGTTCTTGCAGATACTTGCGCTGAAAGCAAGACCGGACAAGGATCACAAGTACAGAAGATACTGGAACTGGTACCACCACACGGTCGGATACGTCGTCATAGGGCTCAGCATCTACAACATCTACAAAGGTCTGGCTATCTTGCAACCGGCGAACACGTGGAGGATCGTCTACACGGCCGCAATCGGGTTCGTGGGGTTGGTGGCGATCGTGATGGAGATTGTGCAGTTCGAGAAGCAATGGGGCTGGATCTTCTCCTGCTGCCGAGGATCTAATGCCAAAGATGCCGGTTCGATCGAAGTCTAATCTATAAGACGACTATGCTTTTTGAGTTTCCTTTTGAATTTTTTTTATTGTTTATCCGTTATCTTTTCGTCGTGTTGGAAGATGGATATCTGTATTAAAGAGTTGTTTGATGGAATAAAATTATATTATTAATCATAAGCGCAAGAAGAAATTAAAACATGAAATTGAGCTAAAGGTTTCTACAATGGCGGTTGAAACAGAACCTCGTACGTCGAAGTTCCTTGGCGTTGGGGCAACCTAACTGATTTCTAAAAGCAAAATGAGATCCCTTTCAACGATCCAACCGGTTTTTAAAAGAGGAAATCTCCTCGAGGATTGGAAATCTTTCTGTTAACCATGATTTGGTCAAGTCCGTTGACTAGGTCAACTTCAAAGATGTTTCCCAAAATACCCTCATGTCTCCGCTTCTTTGGCAACAGAGACTCCAGCTGAGTCAGAAGCTCCGCAGCTCGTTGCCTTGTTCCACAATCCTCCGAACATGAAAACCCTAAACTCGAAGAACATCCTCGAGATTCGTCCTCATCGAACACATTGCCAGATTGCAAGCCTTGTTCTTCTCCATCATCTTGCCCTTCGTATGCACTCCTATTGCTGCATATATGTCCACGGCCCACCCAAAATTAATTCCCCTGCATTAACCCCATATATATATATATATATACATACGAATTACAACGTGCATGGAAACCATAAAGTTATGCATTTGTTGTGCATTATAAAGCATAGTACAGTATCAGATGTGTATAAGTTGTAGTTTATGGATCCTAGACTAGAAAACACGACGGTCGAACAAAGAATTGTAAAATCAAAACAAACACAAGAAAATTTTACGTGTACGGATACAAAGATGAAGAAGAAGATGCCGCAACTGATTGTATTGTTGTGGCATCTGAACAGTTTTAGATTCTAATTAACATGCCACAGATATTAAGTATTTTCAGCAAATACTCATTTTGCCCCGTGTGAGTATTGGTCCGACTAATTCTATAGCTGCGCTTGCGATTGCGATTGTGGGTGTCAGCTTTTTCGGTACGTTTCTTAGCGATTGTGGACGGTTAATAGGTTGATAAGTTGTTATTGTCAGCGATTGTTGGTGGTTGCGATTAGAAGTGAATGGTCGACTACTAGAGGTGACCATTCCGATTATTAACCAAATAATCAAACCGAACCAAATAAAATATAAGTAGGGTAAAACTAACTTGTCTCGCGACGGTCTAAACCCAGCTCGCGTTCCCTATTGGTGGGTGAACAATTCAACATTTGCTGAATTCTGCTTCACAATGATAGGAAGAGTCATCATCGATGGAACCAAAAGCAACGTCACTATGAACGTTTGGCTGCCACAAGCCAATTATCCGTGTGCTAACTTTTCTGACACCTCTAGCTTCAAATTTCGAAGGGCTAAAGGATCGATAGCTCACTTTTTCACCCAAACCGAATCCAATATAAAAACCGAACGGTTATAATTTTTTTAAACCCGAAAAAATCTAAACCAAACCGTACCGAATAAAAAAATAACCAAAAAACCGATAATTTTTTTGAAAAATTATTTTTTACCGAAACCAAACCGAACCGAAGTTTATATAAAAAACGAATGGTTATAGTTTTTCTATAACCGAATCCGAATGTAACCGAAACGAACCCGAACCGAAATCTAAAATGGTCACTCCTATTGACTCTAATTGATGTAAATTATAAAAAAGGACATGATTTTAATATATCATTTTTAAATAGTTGTAATTAATTTTTATTATTCTTTAACAAAAAAATATCTACTAAATTTATAAATAATTAAATAAAAAATTTAAATATAAATTTTATCATTTGAATTTATTTTTTAATAAAAAATTATTTTTATTATTAAAAAAATATTAATTTTTTTATTCAAAAAAAAAAGAATTTTAGTTTTTTCAATCAACCATCACGAAATGCTATCGAAACACAAGTGTGAAGTTGCAATTAGAGTTCAATCAATCGGTTTTCTAATCGTTTGGAATCGTCAGAAATTGTAATTAACCGTTTCATTTACCGGTGATAGCGACATAACCATTTACTCATATATCTCTTTCTCTATTTCTATCAATAGTCATCCATTTTGTTTCACCTAAATCTTTCATTTCAAATTGTTTTCCAAATGTTTTATTCACTTTCTTTGTTTTTTTATGTAGCAATAATAAGCATATAATACACATATATAAATTTTGGATGAAATTGCTCTTGAAATACATACATAATTTAGGGATGGGTTCGGCCGAATCGAACCGAACCGAAAATACGGTGTTTTTCCCGATTTGAGCCGTTCTAAATTTCTGAACGGTATTAATTTTAGAAAACTGAATTTTTCGAAATCGAACCGAATTGAACCATTTTTAAAAAATCCCGAAAAACAGAAAATGTTTAAAGGAAATTTATCTTTTTTTTTTAACAAAAACCGAAATCGAACCGAACATAATATAAAAACCGATTGGTACCTATTTTTGTAAAATCAAAAAAATCGAATCGATATATTCCCATCCCGAACCCGAACCGGTTCCTAAAACTCCCACCCCCAGTTCATATGTTTTATGTTTATTGCGTGTATTGGATCAGGCAGATATCAAATTTCAGATTCCATTGACGTGTGGATTACTTCTAAGTCACAGACGATATTTTTTTTTCGCATACATGTTTTTACAATTTTTTGATGTTTTCTTTGGATTGTTGTATTAGTGGAGTTTTAAATGTTTTTTTAAAATTAACTAGTTTTTTTAAAGATGAAGTTTATCTTTGAATTAGCGAATAATTGAGATTACAAATAGAATAGATATTTATGAAAAGTTGATTTTTTTTTTGGGTTTTCTCTAATTATTAATTTTTTTTAACTTTGTTTTATATATTTTTATGGGATTTATCTCTAACAGTCACGTGTTATCTAAAAAGCCGGGTTTTTTTTTTGAAGTTATCAAATAATTGTTTCCATTTTGTGAAATATTTAAACTCTGCATTTATTTTACATTCATCCGAATATATTTTTTTCTCACAGACCCCAAATAAAACGGGAAGAAAACGTGCGTAAAGTAGAAAGAAAATGGAAAGATAAATGCAAGAGAAATACTCCAAGCAGATCTACGCGACTGCTCCTATATATACACATATACATAAACCACGCAGAGGGTAACTAACATCATCACCTCCTCTCCTGCATCTCACTTCTTCTCTTCCGTTCCCAGATCTCTGCATCGATCATCATCAACCATCATCACCATGTCCATGATCTCCTGGAAACTCCTCTTCGCGGTTTCGTGTCTGCTGTCTCTCCTGAGCTTTTGTTCGGCGGTCCAAACGTGCGAATCACGCGTCTTCTCCGGCGGCAGAACCTTCCGTACATGCAGCGATCTTCCTGTCCTGGATTCCTTCATCCACTTCAGTTACGTCCAGGAGACAGGCGTCCTCGATGTGGCTTACAGACATGCGAAGATGGAGCCGTCGAGCTGGGTGTCATGGGCCATCAACCCTCGAGGCCATGGCATGTCGGGCGCTCAGTCGGTCGTCGCTTACAGAAACTCAACCACCGGACTGATGCGTGCTTATACCTCTCCCATCGCCTCCTATTCCACCATCCTTCAAGAAGGGCCTCTCAGTTTCAAAGCCAACAACATCTCCGCCGAGTATTCTTCTGACAGCGAGATGACGATATTCGCCACTCTTGTTCTGCCACCCAACACAACGGTGGTCAACCATCTCTGGCAAGACGGTCCTGTCCTGGAAGGAGGGAGACTTGGGATGCACGCAATGGGAGGAGATCATCTCAAATCCATGGGGACTTTGGATCTTCTGTCAGGTCGAGTCCTCGCCTCAAAGGGAGGAGGTCCCACCACGTACATGTCGCGTGTGAAGAACGCTCACGGCATCATCAACGCAGTGAGCTGGGGATTTCTCATGCCTTTGGGTGGATTGGCGGCCAGATACATGAAGACTTACGACACGTTAGATCCGATGTGGTTCTACATTCACGTCATCTGCCAATCTCTCGGTTACTTCATCGGCCTTTCGGGTGGGCTTGGAACCGCAATCTTCATGTGGAGATCCACCGGATTTAGGTTGGGTCCGCATTCCATCATCGGAGTGGTGCTGTTCATCCTAGGGTTCTTGCAGATACTTGCGCTGAAAGCAAGACCGGACAAGGATCACAAGTACAGAAGATACTGGAACTGGTACCACCACGCGGTCGGATACGTCGTCATAGGGCTCAGCATCTACAACATCTACAAAGGTCTGGCTATCTTGCAACCGGCGAACACGTGGAGGATCGTCTACACGGCCGCAATCGGGTTCGTGGGGTTGGTGGCGATCGTGATGGAGATTGTGCAGTTCGAGAAGCAATGGGGCTGGATCTTCTCCTGCTGCCGAGGATCTAATGCCAAAGATGCCGGTTCGATCGAAGTCTAATCTATAAGGGGAACATGCTGTTTCAGTGTTTTTTCTTTTCAGTTTCCTTTGGCGGATTTCGTAGTTCTATTAGTCGTAGTCTTTCGTCGTGGCGCACGGAAGATATTCTTTGCGATGGATATTTGTTAACAGTTGTTTTATGGAATGAAATTATATTTTTGGAATTGAATTAATCTGTCATCCGATTAGTAATGATTTGATATGCTAAATAACGCGAGTTATACATAATATTTGTGGAACAGACAATGGTACAGTGGAAACGGTAGCTAGCTATCATGTGAAATCAAGAGATTGTTCAGTTTACAATAGTTTATCGCAACAATAAATTGCATCAAAACTCCCAGTAAATAGAACCCTGGGCATGACATGGAGTGATGATACATATATATCATCATCACCATTATTACCATGAAATTTTTCTTTAATATACGGATTTAAGTTACAAAATATCCCCCCGTTGGCTCCTGCTATAAGATTATGTTTTACTGCTTGGTCAACGGTCGACAGAATTAGCCAGATTCACAAGGCCCATTTGGAAACATCACAAGCCCACTTAAAAGAGGTTTTCAAGGCCCAAACAAAATTTTCAAACAGACAAAATTAGATGGGAGGTTTCTTTTTTTTTTTAGAAAAGGAAAAAAATTTAATTACAAGAAACATATAATAACAGAAGTTGGGCTAAATTTGTGCATCAAAGGAAGAACAAAAGAGCCACGCAGAGAATTTAACAATGACCTTAGAAAACCTTAACCCGGATTTTCTTTTTCATGAAATGGATATTTGTGTACCCCAATTCTAAGGTCTTTTAGGGAAAAAAAAAAGGAAAGAAAAAACCCAACTTCCCCATAAGAGCCAAGGCGAGTAGCTATATATATATATATTTATATAAGAAGAAGCCAAAAGGGGAAAGCAAAAGGAAAATTTTCAATACCGGCTGCTTAAACTAAGCCTGCTTTTGGTTACCACCACCCCTTGAGCGACCCCCACCACCACCCATCCTTCCACGTCCACGACCATAGCCTCTTCCACCGTATCCACGCCCTCCTCCATTGCCGTACTCCCCACCTCCACCCCCACCGTACCCTCCACCTCTGCCGCCTTGATATCCAGTACCTTTATGAGAAGCAAGAATCATAACCTCATTACCCGACACTTCTCACAAATGCGTTTCAAATGAAGAAAAAAGAAACGAAACGAGCTGAATCAAGATTCAGAGGAACAGTTGAAAGGATAATGCTCACTATAGACAGTGATTTATGTCCCATACTCTTTCAGCACTTATTAGTTGAAGATACTCTACTTACCACGATAGCCCCAGCCTCGACCTCGCCCACGTCCTCTATTCCAGTTTGAATATCCACCATCGTTGTCTGATTAGGACAGCAGTAAAGTTACATAATGACTCACATTCACTCTCAACAAAGTGCCATATATCTTTTTCCCATTGATGTCACAGTTTCTTGGAAGCAGTTAAGTCAACATGAAGCACGAGCACCCAAATATGCATAAACGGTATAAGCATTAAAGCACATCAATACCTTGATAATCTCCTTGATAGCCACCTTGGGACCTTCCTTGATAGCCCCCTTGGGATCTTCCTTGATAGCCCCCTCGGTAATTTCCTTGATAACCCCCTCGATAATTTCCTTGATAGCCCCCTCGATAGTTTCCTTGGTAGCCCCCTCGGTAATTTCCTTGATAGCCCCCTTGGTCGTTTCCTTGATAGCCCCCTTGATCGTTTCCTTGATAGCCCCCTTGATCGTTTCCTTGGTAATTTCCATATCCACCCCTCCCCCTGCCTCTCCCTCTGCCTCTCCCACGACCTCTCCCTTGACCATATGAATCTACAAGCCGCATTTTTGCATACATGTTATAACAAGGACATCAGTTACACTAAAATCTTTACGTTATCCATAGCCACCACCTTCATTGTAAGTATTGTATGGAGCACGGGATTGTCTTGGTTGCTGTGGCTGATACTGAGGCTTTGATTGTTCTGTCTGTTTCGGGGCTTGGTACCTGAACACAAACATTACCAATTATTGCAGCTAGAGACTAGAGTACATGAACGAAGCAGACTACAAAAACATAACGCTACAATAATAATGCATGTTAAGCAACAGAGATGATTGACTCAAGCAGGAAGGACTAAAGTCAGTAACAGAGTGTTTTCAAGTCAGAATTAGCAAAAGTGATGAGATAAAAACAAAATAAAACTCACCCAGGAGAATCTTTGTTTAGCTCTCTCATAGAAAGGGTGATTGAAATCATAGAAACATGGCGCGTCAACTCCACACTGCATCAAATGGTAACATACTTATAAGCCATCAAAGTGCAAAAGCAAAGGAGTCAGAGAAACTTTTGGACAATAAAGTACAAGACACTCACGGCATAAGACCCTCCTCAATAGGTTCCCAGACATCGGTAATGCTTGTGGAGTTGATGGCAACGTCTTGATGCAACTGCGGCACGTTTTTCTGCAGCATGACAAAAAAAACTATCAGCTAGGTTTCTAAAATGGACAAGAAGATAGAGGACACTCTTTAACATTTTTGACAGAGTACCGACTTTCAGTATCTCTGCGATAGCCACCGTTTTGCTGATTGCCTGGCCCATTGCCTTCAACACAATCTCTTTATCTTTAACACGGTTCTCCTAAACATACAGGAAATGGAAAATAAAAAACAGAGGATCATAGCTTAATCACACTGCAAATGCATTTCGCCAATCTTAACCTTAGACCACCAAAAGCAGAGACGTACACTAAATTCAGACAGGAAGAGGCAAATACAAAACCAAGCGAGAGAGAAAGAGAGAGGGAGAGAGTAGAATAGTACCTGAAGAAGACTGGTGGCATAGCTGATGTAGTTGCGGATAAGGCCCTGGCTAGTGATACGAATCTCATTCTCGTTTATGGGAGACTCCGGCTTCGGCTTCTCAACTCTCTGGTACCTATCCATGGAGACGGTCGAAATCGGAAAACCCTAGGATTCTAGAGAGAGAGAGAGCTCTGGTTCGAGAGGGAGAGGAAATGGATGGAGAGAGAAAGAAACCCTAAGTAAACCCTAGGTTTCGCACATTCAGTTCAGATGTTTGAGCATTGGGAAAGGCCGAGACGGTGGGCAAAAGGGCCCAAAGCAGTAGTTTATTCGATAATTTGAAATACGGGTCAGGCAATTTCGGATTCGGATCCGAGATTCGGGAATATTTAATTTATCACGCGCTCAGGCGGCGCGTTACTTACACGTATGGATGAGCTCATAGTCGATTACGTAATTTTTTTTGCGTTTTTTTTATAACCAGGATGGTTCTTCGGACCTTCGACCCGACTACATCCACCCTAGATCCGGAAATACCTTTGTATATGGACTATTTTAGTCCAGAAATTACATCTCTCCCCACCAGTGGAATCGAACCAGGACCTTGAGGATGATTTTGTCACCTCTCAACCACTCGACCACAACTGTTGGTTTTTTTCTTATTTTTTTTAGATACAGTATATCTAAATTTAAAAATCAGAACAAATTTTGTCTACAAGTTTAATCAATATGAGTAGGGCATGCTAGAATTCAAAATAGATCGATTCGAACTATGATAATTAAAATTCTATAAATTATCGGAAAATATTATAAAAATTAAAAACAAATAATTAAATTATTTAAGATCAACAAGCAAAATATAAAAATGATTAAACAAATTTTAAAAAAAGTTTAAATTCGTGATTTTCAAAAACTTATCAATTCCTATCATATTCTATTTCATATTTCTCATACTCTCAAAATATAATGTTAAATAATATTTTTAGTACCTTTAAAGTTATATTTATAAAAAAAATATATTGAGTAATAAAACACACAAACAAAAAATAAATAAAAAAATATCCTTTTTCAATTCGTGGGGCCGATTTATAAGGCCATTGGCCCATGTGCTCTCACTAAGATGGTACGAGGTAGTGGGCCGAGACTCCGCTTTACGTTGACACGTGGCCATCTTTATGTATAATGACATTGTGAAGTATCTGGAGGATGTTTTAGTCATTTCACTAGACCCCTTGTTTAATAGTGAATTTTGTTCTCGAATCACCACCGCTGTGAAAGTTCAAAAAAAAAAAGGCTTAGACTTGACCTCCGCTCGTCGATAATGGCGAACAATCCATCGCAGCTTCTTCCATCAGGTCGGATTTCGTTCTCTCTCTCTCTCTCTCTATCTATCCTGTTCGGGATTTTGTGATATTATGGTTTCTCTCCCGATATTTCTCGAGAATATCGAACTGACGGCGATTCGGGTCTGTTATTTGTTCTCGATTTCGTGGGGGAACCGTGGGGTTTTGCAGAGTTGATCGACAGGTGCATAGGATCGAAGATATGGGTAATAATGAAAGGAGACAAGGAGCTTGTGGGTACTCTCCGAGGGTTCGATGTTTACGTCAACATGGTCCTTGAGGATGTCACCGAGTAGTAAGTGTGATTTAGGGTTTTGGCTCATCATCTTTGGAGTTTAATCTTCTCTTTGATTCCTGGATGTTTCTTTTCTGGGTTTGCGAGTACGGTTTGGTCTGAAGTGCTTTGACTGGCCTGATTTGCTCGGCGGAACGGATATTAGGGTTTTGTAGAGGTGGGGCTCGGGCTGAAACACCGACATTAATGTGAATCTATAGTTTTGGGTTGCAATGCGTCTTGCTTGTGTAGTTGTTTAGGTTTCCAAGTAGCAAGTGTTGGTTTTTAGGTTTCAGTTCCTACTTTATTTGATTTATCAGATTATATGGCTTTGATATGGACTTGCAAGCAGTTGTAGTCGAATCATCACAGGGAAACAGATTGAGAAAGAACTCACCTTTGGATTTCATGCCCTGATACTAAGGTTTCTACTCTCCAGAGAGGGAAAAACTTGTAGAAATCAATCTTCTCTTGCTCAGTTTCTACAGCATATACTATTCTGGAACTTTTACTTACGCAATGTGTTTATGCCGAGTTAGTATAAATTCCAGCTTTGACGTTCTATCTATTTGTGGTCGAAGATGTGCAGATCAGAGGCTAGATGTAGATGATATAACTTATTTCCTGGTTAGATATATGCGTGTATATACAGCTTCAGTGAGTATATGGTTGTTCCGTTTTCTTGAAAAATTTGCTGCTTTGATCTTGCCCCCGGTTGAAAGCTAGAAACACAGCGTTGTTCTGGGGACTTGAATCAAGTTGTTCACATCATCTAGCTGTTCACATTATTTCTGCGTCAATCTTTCTGCATGCTTCAATCTTATGTCCGGCTTTCTGAAACTAAGTTTCACTGTGCAGTGAGATTACATCGGAAGGGAGAAGGATCACAAAGCTCGATCAGATATTGCTTAACGGCAACAACATTGCCATTGTAAGTCAGACGTTTCTCTTCACTTTCTGTGATTCTATAAACCCTTGTGTTTTTTGATATTAACAATCCGGGCATACACTTGCGAGGAATACATTCGGACTGACAAATCACCATGTGAATCGTTTACACTACTGAAAAACGCTTTGTCAATTTGGTTTCTGATGCAGCTGGTTCCTGGTGGCTCTCCAGAGGCAGAATGATATCGCTAGTGATGATCTTTGATTACTTCTTGTATTTCTCCTCAATTGGCTATGTAAGTGCCAAAAGAGCAGATCTAGGTTACATTATTGTGTGAATGATCAAGCAAGTTGCAAGAGATTGTTTCATGATCTAAAGTCATACATTGCAAATCAATGAAAGCTTCACATTTATTAGATTTAACACATTCTGTAGCACAAGTCTCTGCAAGAACACAACACAGAAACCTACTCATGATTGTGTTCTTCTACTTGGCATCTTTGGACAAGTGACCGTTGAGGTTGACAGTCCGTGCATTGGATAGATCATCGACCGCATCTCCTCTCTCGAAAACAGCTGCAGCCCCCATCCCTGTGCCAATGCACATTGAGATAACCCCAAAGCGACAGTCTTTTCCTCGCCGTTTCATCTCATGCAACAGCGTCGCCACACATCTAGCCCCTGTTTTAGTCACATATATATTTCAGCTTCACCACATCTCAGTTATATGCAGTGTATATATCTACGTGTGTGTGTATATATAGGTTTCAGTATGTATATATATACGCGTGTACCTGTGGCACCCAAAGGATGACCAAGGGCAATGGCACCTCCATTAACATTGACTTTTTCTCTGTCGAGCTCTAGTTTCTTGCAGGAATACACAAACTGGGAAGCAAATGCCTGTATAATTACATTCATTGGCAATGTTAGAATGGAGAGTACAATAACTATGAGGTTGTCGAAGAACCAAGTATCCATTATTCCTTTACCTCATTGATTTCAAAGAGATCAATATCAGAAACTCTAAGCCCTGCAAGCTTGGCCGCTGCAGGAATGGCGAAAGCTGGACCGACCCCCATGACCGCTGGATCCACTCCAGTGACAGCAAAGCTTCTGCAAGTGATTTTAGGGCTTCATATTAGATACCCAACCCAACCCAAGTGTAGACAAGGAAGAAGCAGATAAGATGTTTTCCCGGTTGCATTCACCTGAATACTCCAAGAATGGGAAGTCCCTTCTGTACAGCTAGGCTTCTCTTCATTAGCAGGACGGCTCCGGCACCATCACTGACCTGACTAGCATTTCCTACAATGAAATATGCCCGATAAAACCCGGTTTGAAAACTGAGAGCCTCACTTAGGGTTAAGACCCAGAAATTTCATGATACGTGGGATGTTGGCAAATACCAGCTGTTGTGGAACCGCCAGGTTTAAATGCTGGCTTCAGCTTTGCCAAATCTGCTATGCTTGAGTTTGGGCGTATACCGTCATCCACAGAGACCGTGACCGCCTTCTCTTGTTTTGTTTCGGGGTCCACAATCTTGCAAGAACCATCCAGCTATAGCTTATAGCTCAGGACTCAAAAGGATTCTGACGAGAAGGAAATTAAGAGCAGATTTTCACCTTGGTTGAAACAGGTACAATCTCATCCTTGAATTTACCAGATGCTGTGGCAGCCGCAGCACGTTTGTGAGATTCCACCTGTTATTCACCAGTTGTTTAACCTCTTTATGTTGTTTACATTTCCATGATCTAAAGAGCGCCATTTATGAGGGGGGAAGTGACTCACTGCAGCCATGTCTTGTTCTTCCCTTGTGACTCCGTATCTTTCTGCGACGTTTTCAGATGTGATGCCCATAGGAAGCAGACAGTCACGAGCTTTTGGAAAATCTTCTACCTGATCTCACCAAGATTAGAAATTCATCGTCGTCGTCACTTTCTTGGGTGAAGTTATATGTCACAGAGAAACGGCTTAAACATACTTTTGGATTGACGACACGAAATCCGCCTCCTGCCACATGATCTGTTGACATAGATTCCACCCCAGCAGCAATACCTGCATCAGGCAAACATATACTCATTGGCTTAGAGGCAACGAATTTCGATGAATTTAGACATGCAGCGCAGAACAGAAAACCTCATTGGCTTCATACCAATATCATAAAATCCTGCTTTAATGGAAGCAGCAACATCAGCAACTGCTTGTAGTCCTGAAGAGCATTGTCTGTTGACAGTTCTGATCGGCACGGAGTCTGGTTAGGCAACAAAGGCAAAGGGCATGCCAAGAAAGAAGAACATCAGATAGTTGCAGCCTACGTGCTGTAGGACACTCCTAAAGGAAATCAAACAGCATCAGCCGAAGCAGTGAAAGAAGAGTACCGGGAAAACCGGCGTAATATGCTGCCACCCTGCACTCCATGGCTCTCTGAGAACCAGGTGCGATAACTGTGCCGACAACTATATCCCCAACTTCACTAGGGTCCAACGATGTTCTTTCCACCATTGCCTGTAATCAATCAATCCCATGAACAAAAAAAAATCATGAAAAATTAGAAGCTTTAGAAACTGCTATTTGAGCTCTTTTTATTCAATGCCATGAAGAATTGTGGATACTATCCCTTGGATAAAGCGCATCCAAATGGATAAACTGACATTTGAGCTCTTTTTCTTATACAACTGATATGGAATTACGTTATGCCATGACCAGGTTCAGGATTTTCTGCCAACAAAGCACAAAAATCCAAATCAACAAACCTTGAGGACAGTAGCAAGAAGATCATCTGCAAGTGTGTCCTTGAAACCACCGCGTCTCGCCTTGCAGATGGCAGTTCGGTGTGCCCTGAAGTGTAAGGAAAGGATCAGACGATTCAGAGATGAAAAAAGCAGTGACAGTGCAAAGGAAACATCAAATTCTGTCTGGAGAGCAACTTACGCTACAATCACAATGTCATCTCCAAAGGCAGCCATCGGGGAATAAGCAGAGAAATCTCCGGCGGCACAATTGACAGCCTAAACAAGAAGATTATATACACGTTCGACAACAGATCAACACCGGTCTTCGACGTTTACAAGCTTTCTAAGCAGATATGGCATGCTTCTTGATCCCAAATCGAGCAACAACAGATTAAGTCTAATGCTTATTTATTAAAAAAACACAGGTTCCCATGAACCAAAACATGAGAGATTAAAACATATGAATCAAGAAACCGAACGAGAACAATTACGGACGATGACGAAATTCCAACGGATACCGCATGGAGAAGAGAGCTCCACACAAATGCAGGAAGGTTGAAACAAAAAATCGACCGAGACCCATATAGAAAATCGATCGGACAGAACAAAAGAAGGGGAAAAGATCTAAACTTACAGACAAAATAGCAGGATCATGGTCTATACGAGAAGAAAGAGAAGAAGAAACTGGATTTAGATGACGAAGCAAAATCCTCTGTCTGTCAATAGCTTTCTCCATCTCTCTCTCTCTCTCTCACAGACACTCACGAGAGATGAATACTGAGAAATCCGTGTGTGTGTGCAGAGAATTCCAAAGGAGATGCAACAATGCGAATGGTTCTCTTGGTGGATTTTCCGGGAAGCGATTTGAGAAAAGATGGGAAAGTATTCCCGGTTAAACTGGCTCTCGCTCGTGGTTAGGTTGCTGTTTGTCTCGTTTATTTTTGTCGATCCACATTTAATGCCGTTTCTTTTTGCCGTTAAATTCGTCCACAAAACGACAACTTGATTTGGCACGTACAATATAACCTTGGCTTAACACGACAATTCATTTGCCTACCTATATATAGGTATGTCAATCGGGCCGGCCCGACTGAATCCGCACTTGGCTTGAGGGTTTTGGGTTCGGATTCGGGCCAACCCAATTTTTTTCGGATCTATACCATCAAACCCAAAACCCAATCCTATAGATCTCGGACTTAGACCGGACCGGACCAAACCGGCCCGCACGTTTTTCTTTGTTAATATATTTTTTTCTTTTTTTCTTAAGATTCTTTTTTTATAAAAAAAATGAATTTTTTCGGGCCGACCCGAATCGAACCCGAAATCCGAATCGAGCCCAGCCCAAAAACCCAAAAATTTTCGGGCCTCACAATCTCAGCCCGAAATCCGCTATTTTTCGGGTTAGACCAGGCCGGACTTCGGACCTCGGGCCACAATTGACACCCCGATCTATACATCTTTGCGGTAAAAAGAAAAATATGTCGATATATATTTAATTTACCATTAAATCAAAATTCATCCAGAAATAAATATTCTTGAATATGAATATGAATATGAATATGATATGCCAACTAAATTTTCCTCTTGGATGCTGTTGGCAACTCTGTATGAAATTCTACAGAAAGCCCATGCAAAAAAGACATGACGTCTTGTGGCCCTATCGATCGTCTGAAAGGGTGAATATGGCCCAAACCTTGTATTCATTACGGTCATTCTCGTGTTTATCCACCATGGTTATTTCAATTGACTAATCAAAGGGTATCAAATTTGAGATTTCATGATTGAAAAAAAATATATATATTTCCGTTACCCACGAAATTTTATAACAGAAATGTATCGTTAGATAATAAAGCTCTTGAATTAACTCATACAAGGGCAGAAATACACATGTTGGACCAGTAAAGTTTTAAAAGTTAAAACCAAATGGGTTGGACAAATTTTCTTTTCTCGATCAAATGTAAACTACAGAATATTGCAATGGATGACTCGTACATTCCCAAAACCCTAACAATTGATAGAAGCGTACTATACAATACATACAATGGGGCGTTGAAAAAATAAGATTGGGACTTACAATGCAGTAGCAGTCGTCCTCTCCGTCCACGTTTGGAACACAACGATCGGAGAGGGTTTCTATATATAACAAAAGAGGAAGCGAAGGGTAAGTAACAACTAACAACAACCGCAAGCGACTGTTCAAATATTAATAAACTCTTTGGGAAGAGGAAAGTGCAAACACTACCACCACTCCTTGTACCTACCCGTCTATGTATGTACTGTCCCTACCTATCCCCTCGTAAATGCTTCCCCTTCGCTTCGCTACCTAACCTCTATCGTCGATTTTTGTCCTCTTCTATTACAACCCATATTTATTTTTATGTAAAAAAATAACCTACCCTAAGCATCGTGTATACGTTATTATACGTACAAGAAACCAGAACTTTGCACGTTCGGACAATTGACATCACCGAAACAAAAGCCGCATCCGTCAGTGAAAATGAAAACATAGACATAGAGGAGAATAATGAAGCAATTGAGAATTGAGGTTACAAAGGTGCATGTATTTATATATTACCTCTCGGCTGAGACAGAGACGAGACGAGGACGAGGATGTTGGCGTCAAGTCATGAACCCTCGTTATGTGACGATCTCTGAGGTTTTGTCCGAAGCGCGTGGGACATGTTCCGTAATCTGTTGGTTATCCCTGTGAACGAAGGCCTGCACTCGGGTTCGGTTGACCAGCAATCTTCCATCAGTTTCTTCCACTCGGGATCGCAATCTCCGGGGATCTCCGGTCGCAAAGTGTTCTTCACGATACCACCTTATTCCCCCGATAAAACACGTTGGAATGATTAGATCCATACATGAGATGATGACAATGAAAAGAATATGAATGTGTGATTCGAGCATAAACATCACTATCATCATTGAATTACTTACCGATAATCGCACCGTAGTGCATATCTGCATAAGGCTCATCCCCCGTCAGAATCTCCCACATTGAGATACCGAATGAGAAGACATCCACCTGTTGAAACAGAATTATTATACAAACGTTTTTATCAATCTATGCCCTAGGAGTTTTGGTGATGGTTTACACTACCTTCTCAGAAACTCGGCTGCTGTTACCATTCAACAGTTCTGGTGCCATCCATGGAAGGGTTCCACGTACACCTCCAGATACAAGCGTGTTCCTTTTGATTCTCGATAATCCAAAGTCTCCTACCTGCATAAAGGTTAGGATAAAAGAGCATCGGTTTGTATGGTAACCGACTTGGCAAGGTTCGTGATTTCCAGTATAAGAACCGAAATATATCTGAATTGTGCATTGCATTAAATCAAGCGAAGAGCGACGGGAAATGTGTTTCTGTACCTTGCAAATCGGTCTGTGTGGGTCGCTTAAATTGACAAGCAAGTTATCGCATTTTAGATCAAAATGGACTATATTTCTCGAGTGCAAGTATTCCATACCAAAAGCTGCATCCATTGCAATTATGAGCTTCTTCCGATGATCAACGTATCTGCAAAACCATGTTAACGTCAGAAGAACCAACAGATGATGAAGCATACAAATGGCCGCTGAGGAGAGCTTGTCATTTTTACTTGTCCTTTCTCTGGAGGGCACGCCTGAGTGACCCATTGACCATGAACTCGGTAACCGTAGCTAAGGTTCCTCCAGCTCCATCAGGAACTACCCCGTAAAACGCAACAACATTTGGATGATGAAGCCTGGAAAGAATATGTGCCTCTCTCCAGAAATCCTGTGCCTGCCGAAGTAAAATTCGAATCAGTTTCACAACTAGATTGAAACAAATTTACCAAAAAATCTAGATTGAAACAGAGTTGTATCCCCCGGGAAAGAAAAGAACCAAGAACTCTACATTTTACAACACTGATCACCAATAGGAATTCATGTCAAAGAAATGAAGTCAAGTTCGTTTTTAAACCCACAAAGAAAAAGAAGGGTAAAACAGTGAAAGAAACAGATAAACAAGATTTGTATCGGAGACCAACCAACCGATCTTGCTCAGATGATCTCCCTGCAAAATAGCTTTTCCTGATTCTCTTTATAGCAACATCACTACCTCGCCACTTCCCATGGTAGACAGTGCCATATGTACCAGACCCCAATTCTTTCAGCTCTTCTAGATCAGAGTCCTTTATAATCTGCAACACAGACATAGTCCATAAGATGATTTTTACCGCTATATTAGTGTTTCAGAGGGGTATAAAAACCTGCAGGCCGTAAATGTTGGCTTCCATTTCAGCTACAATTGCATCATCAACAGATTCATCCCTGCCTTGGTCAGCACTCTTGAGATCCTACAGCAACATGATGAATGTGAGCATTGAGGAAGTTGTGGATGAAAATCATAATTCTCATCTCCTGAAATATTTTAGTGTGATCTTACCTCAGACTCAGGATCATGAATTTTATGTAGCTCTGATGTGTTGTGGGATATAATTTCACTGCCCGTAACTTCAAAACCAGGAACAGCTTCAGATGGAATTTCACTCTTACTAGTCAAATCCAAACTTTCAGGAAAAGCTGATGGAGCTATAACAACAAGAGGAATGCTGCTGATAATATTCTCGGGAACTGCAGGCGATTTGAGCAGGAGCTGCCGGGCTGTGTCAGCGTGGTCCTTATTAAACTTCCGTGTATCATCTCCACCACCTTGAATATCATGTTTTCCTCCAAAACTAGGCAAAATATCACTGTCAATGAGAGAAAGCTCCCTATTGAATCTGGGGTCTATTATCAGCTTCTGTGGATCAGAATACACATCATTCCTGTTTGAGTTTGATCCTTGACCAGAACGATTCTCTATTTCTAAGGCATATGAGTTAGCAGAACTTTTCGGAGTATGTTTAAGAAAATCAACATCCTTCTGATCCGTAAGAAGCTGGAGAGTTTTTGGTTCTGAGAAGACAGAAACGTAGGGTGTCCCAGATAAAAGATCAACAAGATAATTTGTGTTCTTTATTTCACATGTAGTATTTGATACTAATCCCTCGACTTCAGAATTCCAGGTCCATGAAGCATCAATTCCTTCAGTAAGAGTCGAAGTGCAAGGTGCTTTGCCAGTAATCCGATCATAGAATACAGAGGAAGTTTTCTCTATATCATTGTGCCCTGTAGAAGAACTGAAATCAGCCTGTGAAGATACAGGGACCAACATGTCCTGTCCTCGGCGATCTTGACTTGGGTCAGTAACTTGCACCCTCGAAGCCTGGTTGCATTTCACCACCAACGCCTCCATTGATTCTACCTGAGGAGAAATACCTGCAATATCTTGGTGCTTATAATCACTGATCAAGGCACTGTGAGAAATGGTCTTATCTCCAGCAAATGAATTTGACGGCGGAACACAACTGCTATGAGGTTGGGTTATCAAGGGCCCTGTCAAGCAGATATCTAAAGCAACACTCTGAACTTTGAGATCAGACAGATCTATTTGTGACTTGGAGAAGTTTAAGGGTGAGGACGGACTAGTTCCTTCTTGTTGAAAGTAAGCAGATCGTTTTTCATGCTCTTCCAGCTTTGAATCAGAATATGAGTATGGGATTCCTTGACGAGTGTCACAATGGTTGGTGGATTCAGAAGGCAAACTGATAGGCTCTTCTATGTGGAAACCTGGCATTGTGAAGTTAGACGTTCTTTGATTATACACCAACTTCTCAGAAAAATCTTCCATCTTACGATTCTTACCAACACCACTTTGCGCAATTAAAGGACGGACAAAATCAGCATTATGGTCAGAACAGTTAAGTTGCATTCCATCAAATTCCTGCGACTGGCTAGTACATGTCTGCATCTTCTGAAGAACATTCATCAAATCTATTGTTCCTTGTTGGTAGGGCCTGCTGCAAGTAACATCGCTGCTTGAGATATCTGGTGACAATAGAGCAGCGGTCAAAGAGTCACAGCTTTCAGCATGGGATTCAATTCCATTAATTTGTGAATGAGATCCATTAGAATCTTCAGCCTGAAATGGAGAGGGAGAAACAGGAAGCACACAATGCTGCTGACCTTGGGAGATATGAACAGGATGCGAGGTGTCACTATCAACTAGGATCTCTGAAGGAAGCAGAGAAACAGATGAAGGTCTCTTATAACTTGGATCTTGATCCAAATTAGTACCTGTGTCACTTTCAGAACACTGGTTTTCAGCAGAACTCTTCTTAGGACTAAGGTCTACCATGCCATTAATGGCAATAATGTATTGGTAATCAGGATTATCCAGTTGAGTACTGTCAACCAGAAAGGAAGATGCATTTTGAAGTTCGACCAAAGGAATGAGAAATATCCGTAGCCTAGGAGAATCTTCAGTTCTTTCCAGGCCCAGGTATTCCTCCATCATATTCTTCAAATCTTCATCAGACGACACAGATATAAGAGCATCAAGTTCCGTCCCAGGAAGCTGATACTTAACTTCATGAGCTTGCTTGCATATAGCAGAAGTTCTTTTCACAAGTTCGCCCCATGAAACATCCTTATGAATGGAGATAAGGTGAGTGTCCCCTCCTACGTACCGAAGTGTTCTATCACTTGGTCTTGGCAATATTTTTCCTCCAGAGCTACAGAGAATTTTCACTTTGCAAGCAGGGGCTTCACTCGGAAGTCCTAATCCATTATCAGTGTTCTCTGATAAATAAATGGTGGAACCAGAACTCTGGATCTCATTTTGGAGATCACTATTCAACTCACTTAATGTTTTTCTATGCATATGCTCAGCATCATTACATTCCTTGAGGCCCCTACATAACTTTTCAGTATAACTCTCATTTTGAAGCTCTAGAAGACATCCTTGCTGAGATGCAAAAACAGATGTAACAGAAGGACCCTTAGATCCATTCCTAGTCAACCCAAGAATTTGAGAAAGATCTTCGTACACGTGCTGATCTACCCGATTATTGCCACGATCAAAGCTCTTGTTATGCTTGAGAGCACCATCTGATGATACATCCAAGGTTCCTCTCACATCCATTACAAAATTCAAGGAAATCTCCCTGTCTGTTTGTATAGAGATGCTCCCATTCGCATTCTCTCTAACTTGGTAGAAGACAATTCTCAGGATTTATCGATGTGATGAGGCAATTCACCAGCTATTCCTTTAGCTCTAGCGAGCTTTCAGACCTTTTGAATCAAGTGGTGACATTGATTCAAAAGGCTTGACTGATTGAAGCACCCAACAAGACACTCCTACGATTAAATTTGTTTCATGAACCACTAGATCTGCCTGATATATCTTCTAATCTTCTATGCCCTGTGTCTTCAAAATATAAGGAAAACTCGGCAGAAACCGGACAGCTTAACCAATGATCTCACTAGAGTCTGAACAGACAATACGGCAGAACTTCAGCACTCACAGCCTTCAAGTCCACATCAGTCCTATATGATATGGCTGGCCATAATCGCCCACAGACGCAGGGAGGCAAGGCGATTGAATCGATTTAGCTACAATAACACCCCACAATAAATTTGTACAGTGATCACACAAGTAAAGCATTATTGCTCCAGAGATCTAAGCATGGTTTACCAAATTCAGCCCAAAATTTATGGTCTCAGCTCCAAATCTCCACGCGGCTAACTGAAAAAGATGTGATCCGCCAACAAAAAAAGGATGGATCAGAAACAACGAAACAGACACGATCAAAACCACCACGAAAATCAAACACGAACGAGTTAAAAATCCTCCGGAAAAATGTTGTAACCACAGTTTTCACCGTATTCGCAATCTCGAAGTTGTGATCACCGAGTTTCAGATACTGCGCATCAGAATCGGCAACACGAACACATAAACGATCCAGGTGAAGAAGTAGACCTGTGAAGAGTGATGAAGATTTGAGTGCGAAATCGAGAACTGCGAAGAGAGAGAGTGAAGAGAGATGAATTACCGTATCAGAAGAATGCAATCTCGAGCATGGAGAGTCGCAGAAGGAGACGAGAGCGATGATGCCGAGAAGTAAGCGCCATTGACATGCCCCACTCCCAAAAAAAAAATAAAGAAAGAAATAATTTATTGTAATTATTTAATTAAAATTGTGATTTGCCAATAGTAACAAACGCCTTTTGACAATATAAACAATACATATTTCGGTAATATTTAAATTTGGTAGTTGTAACTTGTAACGCAACGGGCGGGTTTTCACCCGTAATTCGTTGCTGGTCTCTATTTAAACGACGACGTTTGGAAACACAAATAGTTTAATTTTCAGATTTGAAAAATAAGTGGAAATCCCAATTAATTTGGAATGCAAGTCATAATTTTAAAATTTTTATTATTTTAGTGTCAGATTCGGATGATCTGAGGCGGGATGTAACTTATAAATATTATTTTTTATAATCTATAAATTCAACGAACATTCATTTTTAGAAAATTCAAATTTGGGTTAGAAAGGAGATTTGTTTTCCAGTTAAACCAAGTGATTGTAAATATTATTGTATAAAAGATGTCAAAATAAATTTCATAATATTATAAACCACAAATCATATTGTTTTTATATAATATTTCATATTTTACACATTATAAAAACCTTCTGTTGTTGCTGATTAGATTTGTAGATTTTAATACGTGATATAAATTTCAATTCATTGTTGTGATATAAACAATTAATAATTATTGACCAATTTGTTATTTTATATATTTAGTAATACATTTAATTGTCATTGTCGAATTAATAATATCAATCTTGATGCTATGTTTGGAAAACAAATATACGCGCGCGGTTCTATCACTGTAATAATAAGAAAAATAAAAAGATTATAAAAAGGGAATTAATATTCTTGTTGCTTCATTAATTGTATTAATAAATAAATGGGTCCAAACGAGCTTAGTAGATGAAAATAATGACGTACGAATCTCAAACGTGACTGTAATAATTCAATGTACAAGATGATGTCGACATTATTTTAATTAGATTTACATTAATATCTAAATTGAGAAATATTGTCTTGGTATTTAGAATACGAAAGCAAACTAAATTGATTTGTCTTTCGAAAATATTTTATATAATTGTAAAGCAAAAACTTTTAATACAAGTTTAACATTATAATTAAAAATAAATAAAAGAGACCAGACAGCTAAACTTAGCTCGCAGTCCCTCGTGACTGCAACTACAATCCATCTCACAAGTGACCCAACTGTCGAATTCCACAACTTTAATTCCTTTTTTCTTAATATTTTTATATTTTTAATTTTACAGAGTTATCAACAATCAAATATTTACAGGAGGGAAAAAGACATTGATGAAGTGACGGAAAGGTAGCTGTATTAAAACGGCAGCGTTTGAAGGATCTTTATTTATTAATTTTATTTATTTATTTATTTATCTATTTACTTGTATGCTGAGGATGTGATTTGACGTAGGGGAAATGAGACGAATGACGAAAATGCCCATGAATCGGACAGTTTTATATCGCGTGGCCCGAAAATTAAGCCAGAACCAAGAGAGAGCGAACCATCACGAGCCTTAAACAGACGCGTCGGCGCACAATTTTGAACCTGCTTCTTCGTCTTCTTCTCTCTCTCTGTCTCTCTCTGTTTCAGAAAAGCAAGAAGGAAGGAATCGCATATTTTCCCTCTTTAACTATTTTTCCCTCACTTTCTAGGATTCCAAACACGCTTACAGAGAATTCGAAACCAGGAAAGAGAGAAAAGATTAGTTCTTGTTTGTTGGGTATATAAGGGGAAACAAAGTAAGCGAGGAGAGGATCTGGATCGTCCGCCGGAGAATACGATGGCGGATAATCGTCGGCTTTCTTCTGTGTCGTCTTCGTCTTCTTCCTCGTCGAGTTCGGAACTAGCTTCGGTGAAGATCGAGCAGGAGATTGAAGTCGGTGGTTGCATCAATGGTTCCGAAGAGTTGGAGAGCAAAGCGGCAACTGTTGCTTCTTCCACCGCGGGCACCAGTGGTGCTGAAACTTCAGGTTCGTCTGTTCTTGCCCATTTCGTATTTGCTTCGGTTTTGAAGTTGTTTTTTCGTTTTTCTCTCGGCTTTTGAATCTCCGAGTTGTAGAAGCTACAGTAGTGTTTGGTAGAAATGATTATGGTTTCTTTTTGCCGAGAAAATTTTCGATTATTATATGAAGCCAAATTTCAAGATTTTGACCATTGGCTTGTGATGATTTGGGGATGATACTTCAACTCCGGTGAAGATCATTTATGGTCTGGAGAAGTTCTTGGAATTCGGACTTCGCATAATTGGAGTAAGAAATATATTCAGACGATGATCTGTACATACGTTTGATGTTTCAGATCCTTGTCCGAAAGGCATTGTTCGGGTGAGGACGATGCCGTCAGAGAGTTCTTCATGTAGTGAAAAGGCGGAATCATCTTCGAGCCATCCTCGGTTGGACAAATCGAAGACCGAGAGGCAAAGGGTTCCTCACATTCTTGCCGGGGATGCAGCAAAGATATTTGATGACAGAATCTCTGTCAACAAGAAGGTAGAGAGTCATTTCGAGTGTTTTCCATAAAATTGCAGTTCAAATTCAGCATCTTTCCTTGTCTTGGTTACAGACTGTCTTACATATTCCATTTATAGTTGTCTGATGTAAAGCATTGCGCTCCTGAGTATTTTTCTTTACAGCCTTTTTGCCATTGCAAGTCTCTTTTTTTCAAAAAAAAAAAACATAGCTTAAAGAACCTTTTTGAACATTTTAGGTTTCTTTTCGATCCTTATGTTAGAAAAATCTTCACGAAATTTGCAAACTTGCAGCTTAAATTGCTGAACC